CTGCAGCTGCCAAGAAAGCCAACACAGTCCTAGGCTGAATCAAAACGGGGATAGCATCAAGATCACGGGAAGTGATAGTCCCACTCTATACCACAGTGGTGAGTGTTGTATCCAGTTCTGGTCACCACAATACAAAAAAGATGCTGAGGCCCTAGAAGGGGTGCAGAGAAGAGCAACAAAGATGATAAAGGGACTGGAGGCTAAATCTTATGAAGAACGACTAAAAGAACTAGATATGTTTAGCTTAACGAAGAAAAGACTGAGGGGAGACATGATAACAATCTTCTAATATCTTAAGGCTTGCCACAGGGCAGAGGGCGTTGATTTATTCTCCATTATGCCTGAGGGTAGGACAAGAACCAATAGGTGGAACCCCATCAGAGAGAGATCCAACTTGGAAATAAGGAGGAATTTCCTGATGATGAGAAGCATTCAGCAGTGGAACAGCTGGCCTCCCAATGTTGTGGGTGCCCCATCGCTGGAGGTTTTCAAGAAAATATTGGACAGCCATCTGTCCAGGATGGTATGAGGTCTCCTGCCTTGGACAGAGGTTTGGACTAGAAGACCTCCAAGGTCCCTTCCAACCCTACAACGATTCTATGAATTAAGGAGATACTCTTGTGAAGATGCACAGCCAAAAGCTGTGTCCCTTTTTGGCTGCTTCCTAGACTCAAAGACTCAAAACAGATACAGCAAAAACAATTAAGTTGTACAGCAAAGACAACTAAGAATCTTGTGGCTCCTTAAATACTACCAAATTAAAGGGCAATAGGCCCCTTTTTTAGCTGCAGGCTGTGTAGATTTATGTTTGATAAAATTTTGTAGTCTTTCAGGTGCTACAAGACTCTTGGTTGTGAGTAAAAATAAAGGAGAAAAAGAAAAGCAAAACAGAAAAGGCAAAATATTGCAGCACTTAAATAGGTAGCCACAGACCTGCTTGTCTTTCAAGAGCCACAATTTTCTGCTTTCTCCCTCTCTCTCCCCTTTTTCGCCTTTGTCAGCATGCTGAGATAGGCTAAGACAGCTACCTTTTTGGAAACTGACCCAAGACACTTGCCTGGTTTCTTATAACAGACTATGCACCAACAGGGGAAATGTCTAGATCACCTGTTAGCAACTGTCTCCCAGAACTTTGATAGGGTAACAGGGAGATTTCTGGGGTCCAACCAAACAGAATCCTGGAACAGATGGGCATCATCCCAGCTGTTACAGCAGCTGGGCTGTAAGAGATGGATGCATACCATCCTTGCTGGTTGGGATATTGACAGATATGCCCTACAGCTGGATTTTATATTTTTAGAAATGGCAGGAGAGCCCAACCATTCATTCCGGCATTGATTCCTAGGAGCAACTGGATGCTATCCAAAGTGATTACAAAGCCTAATGTGAGTGTCTGTCAACTCCAAAATCAGTACATAAATCAATACAGTACATCTTAAGACTTTGATTAAACCTATGACTTTAATATCCGTCAATTATTTTTTTTAATCTCTCCACCCTCTTAGTTTTCTTCACTCTCAAGCCAGATGAAGACTTCTGCAGGACTCCAAAGCTTGCCTATTAGGTTGTGTGTGGATTAGCCTAATGAGGGTGTTATGGCACCCTGCGTGATATACTGTTTATTTGTCTCATTTATAGGTTACCTTTCTCCTGATAAGGAAATTATTATTTTTTCCTCCTGCAGGAGCCCAGTTTTCTGATTTGTTTTTCTGATTCTTCAACTCTAGCTGAAGATCTCACTTTTTTTTCGTGCCTGATCTTGCAAAACCCTTTGGTCTACTCACCTTTGTTGTATTTATTTTCTGCTAAAATCCCAAGATGAGTCCTACAGCAAAGACTAAACAGACGACTGTCTTTTACATTACAGTGAAGATGATCTCGTTGGCTATGGTGGCTGGGGATGGCAGGGGCTGTGGTCCAAAAGGTAACTTTTCCAAGGTTCTAGGGTAAAATTAGCTGGAGGCCAAATTCACACCCACCAGAGAAAACAGCACTTCAGTACTCAACCTGTTGCCGAGACCACTGTGCTTCTTCCTCTGCAACTGTTCTCTTCCCCCCTCCCCAAGAAAAAGTTTGTATCACAGAAAGGCATCCAAGCTACATACAAATAAAAGAAATAGCAGACGTCTGATATGTTGCAGGCTTCTTTGGAGAAGGAGAAATTAAACTAAGTTCATTTTGGACTGGGGTGTATATGCACATATTAGAATTGAGTCAGCCTCAATTCCTGTTGGGGAAATTACAGTTTCCCAAGACTTACGGTATTTATTATATTGATTCAGACAAAGTACAGCAGTATGGCAGTAACCATATCCTGTTGTCTTTCAGATTATTTGTTATTTTCAGTGAGGCGAAGGTGGGCCTTTGACACCAAATTAAAATTTTATATTTAAAATACAGCATTACGGGGGAATTAGATGTACAGTACTGCTTTCCATTTCAAAATCCAAAGACTTTGTTATAAGATACAGATGGGCCAGCTGCAGTTAAAATATTTATTACTGAGTGATTATCTCCACATGCACAAGAAAGCCTATCTTTTTTGACACCTGTTACCAAGAATACACAATTTCATGCTTATCTGGAGGCAGAAAGTATTAACTGAAAGCAGCTGCCAAAATAAAGGGTATGAGGCTTTAAAATATATCCAGCTTTCAAAACACACTTTTAAGGACTCAAAACCTATTGTTACAACAGCCATCACACCTGACATCTGCTTTGCAGACTTATTTAAAAAAAACAATTCTGTCCAAATAATAAGAAAAGGATAAATGATATCATTGCACAAGAAACCTTACTTGTAACTAAAAACAAAGGAAGAAGGATCCATTGTTTTATCTAGCTTGTTGGGAATATTTTTAGACATTGATGATGTCACTGATGGTCATTTCAAACAAAGACTGCATCATGAAACGGGTGCTCAGGGGCTGCTGGCCAACAGCACAATCCACCACTATCCTGCTTTGCTCCCATAACAGTCCCAGAAAAACTAACAAATGTTGCACAGAAAGAGTGCCCAGTGGATTGTGCCCCATATTCACACAGAAGCCTGGTGACATATCAATTAGAAACACTCCCCCTCCCTACTTTCCCAGTACAATAAAGGCAAAAGCAGGTCAACAAATCCCTATGTTTTTTTTAAAATCCACCCTCAAACACATTGCCCTTTAGAAATCACATTGGGGGGGGGGTTTAAACCTCTTAGATTTACAGACAATACTGAGGATTGCTTGCTTGAGCTAATAAGCTAATTAAGGACAAGGAAAGCAAAAAAGCATGATGCATCTTATAGAATTACACCCATGCAGCTGCAGTGACTGAGCAGTTTTCCAACAAGCCGGTACTTACATCTGCAGATGAATAGCCGGCAGCAGCATAGATCAACCACTGTATAGGACTGATTTCTCTACAAACTGCATCCACATACTAGCCAGAGTGGTTACACCATTTCTTCCCCTGGTCGTTCACATTTAGGTACATCTATAGATTGAGTGAAGTGCATGTGCCCTTTGTGAAATCAGCTCTTTGCACATAGCCATGCAGGAGTACTGCTGCAGCCTTAGCCTAGCTAAAGTAGTCCAATGCAGCAAAGGCTGGAGCTCCCCCTTCTTTTCTCTCTCTCTTTTTCACTGTTTTTTTTCCTCTTGATTTAAAGGGCTATGGTACCAACACTCTAAGGCATCGTTATTGATCACAGTGGATTAGAGCAACTGTTTCTTTAAGGCTCCAAGGACAAGATGTCATCAAAGGACAATATTAAAGATTCAAACTCGATGCATACGTTTATTAATAACTAGGGTGTTCCAACTGAAACACTTTTTAAAAAGTAACAAGCAAACATTAATTTATAGCAGTTTTGCTTTTGTTCCCCTCCTATTTGTAGGAACATTTCTTTGTATCCCAAACAATTGGGATGGCAAGAGGATAACAAGGACAGAGCCTTTAACAAGGACAGATTCCTTTAATAGTTGTGTGGCAGAAGGAATAGAAGATGGTATTATTAAAGTCAAAGGGACCCCGACCCTCTTTGTCATATGGCAAACCTCTGACCAATTCAGCTTTCTTAGCTGCAATCCTATTCCCACTTACCTGGGAGTAAATTTCAGTGAAGTGAAGGAGACTTACTTAAGAGTAGCGGGAAGGGTTTGTACTGTGCCTCTGCGATCCTATATATACTTCCTGGACAGTAAGTTTCACTGAACATCTTGAACTTATTTCTGGATGGAAACATATAAGCTTATATTCCTACGATGAGATTTTACTGTCTGGAGATTCAAATGCTCCAGAAGCTGTAGGTCAAATAAATGATTCTAGTAGAGAAATCCTAAAATAGACATACTTTCCAGTTTCAGTGTTTTAGAAACAAATAATAGAGGGAAGAAATTAATATTGGGGAATTTAATACTAAATGAACACAAACAACTATAAGTTTTAGCAGTGCTTTCAGGAGACATCCTTCCTTATTCCTCTGTCTTTCCTTATCTCTCTGTGGCCTTTGTCTATACTTAAGCATAAACAAGGCGGGGCAGAAAAAAGCCCCACCAAAATAATTAACAAACAATGCATAATTTGTGATCTTTATCAACTTCAAATAAGTAGAAAGAAATTACCAAGAAAAAGAAGTTCCAATACTTCCAAGGCCAACTAATTAAATCTAAAACCTCTCATACACTCCACAACAGGAAGGAGAGGAGGAACATTGTTTAGAATTTTAAAAAAAGTTAAGTATTGAATATCTGGTAAATGTATACGCACATATCCTTTGATATTAACCTCTGGCCATATTGTCTTCTTGTCTCAGTGCTGGTGTTTATTTTATTCACCTTTTGTAAATCCATTGAAAAAAACTAAGAGGTCAAAACGTATTTGGCATTTTGGGGAGGAGGGAATTTTCTGTATAATGTACAGGCCAGAATATTACAGTCAGAACAAAAAGATAAACACTGATAAAAAAAAGATATGCCAAGTTATTTGTTGTGTGTCTGGTGGGTGTTGGTTTTTTGGGCTGTTTGGCCGTGTTCTGGAGGTTTTTCTTCCTAACATTTTGCCAGTCTCTGTGGCCAGCATCTTCAGCGGACAGGAGCTAGAACTCTGCCTGTGTTCTGGTGTAGTGTGTGGGATTGTTGAGCATTTGTAGCTGTGGGATCAGGTTTTTGTTCTTTTCAGGTGAACAACCTGCAGCTAAAAACTGTGCTCACGACCTGGGGTTCAAATCCCAGGTAGCCGGCTCAAGGTTGACTCAGCCTTCCATCCTTCCGAGGTCGGTAAAATGAGTACCCAGCTTGCTGGGGGGGCAATGTGTAGCCTGTATAATTAAAAATTGTAAACCGCCCGGAGAGTGCTTGTAGCGCTATGGGGCGGTATATAAGTCCAATAAATAAATAAACCTTCGGATCCCGGCTATGAAAGCCTTCGAGAATACAATTGTGTCTCAGTCATATAAGAAAGATATCTTTTATCACTAGATATCTTTCTCATATGACTGAGTTATATCCAGGCCTGTACATTACAAAGGTGTTTCACGGTTCATGTTATGAGATGATTTGTTTGAGCGGTTTACAAATTCAACATGCAAATTAATGCATGATCACTTGAGAGGAAGGAAGTGTTTGTTTACTAACATGCTCGGTAGTTTGCATGACACCCTCTCCCCTTCTTGACCAATTAAACTAACACTCTTCCTTTGGCAGGCACAGATGACCTCTATCTTCAGTTACCGTACTTCATTGCCTTTGTCTTAGGCACCACAGGTTTTGGAGACATGATAGAGGAGAGATATTCTGTTGAGCCCCTCCTCATGTCCTCCATGGTCTCAGCCATGTAGCTGAGAGAACCAGCTTTTGTTTTATCATTTTAACCTTTTTCTTCTTCTTTTCTTCTAACTTCTGAGAACCCGTTCTTTTGTATATTTTATTGTACTTTATTGAAACATTTGTAATCAAGCCCAAGTTTAATTACTTAAATTGGTTAAATACTGTGAAGATATATAGAGAAGGGAGGTGTTTCTTGGGGACTTGCTAATAATCTTAACTGCAAAAGTTACTAGTGTTTTTATTGTACAGTAAAGAGAATTAAAGATATTCCTCACTGTTTTTAAATAGACTTGAGGAGTTTTGGAATAATATTTTGTCCTGTAGCTTCTTTGGGCTTATTTAAATTTTGTGGAGACCTCAAGTCATGCACATTTTTTCTACACTTTCCACACCCATGAATGTTCTCGTTCTCAGCCTTTTATCCATCTTTTAGCTTCATACCCATGCCTTCACCAACATCCACCCAAAGTAGGTCCAGGGGCTTTTTAGTGGCATGCATAGGAAAAATACAGCCAGCCCAGAAACTAGTCACTGTGGCCACCCACTGTATCTAAACACCATAATGAAGAACATTTCCTCCCTACTGCCATCCACATGGCATGTACCTCAGATTTACACTCTCTTGCAGATCCATAACAAGTCTCAAATAGTAACAATTTTATTATGTTAGCGTCAGCTTTTCCCAACCTCAGATCCACCTTCATATATGCTTTCCAGCAGTAGTTTAAGGACATTATATCTTATATCTATTAGAGAAATACACTTGGGGTAGGAAAGCAGGTAGAAGTCCTAGAAGTTCTATGTTGGAGGTATCAAGAACCAAGGCTGCCTGATTCACCTGTACAGAACAAAAGCAAGAGGACTCCTCCTTGGGGAGGTGTGAAGAAGGAAGCAAGTGACATCAACGACCCTAGGAATAGCAATCGAAGGTCCAAATAAGCCAGAATTGGAAAAGGAAAGCTAGGACAACCGTCAGTAGCTTTTCTTGCTGCCTCTTTTGTGGCAAGCTACACTCTGGTCAAGTCTCACACAAATCTTTTACACAACCCTTAAATATGAAATAGTTACAGCAGTGAATATGCAGTAACGTTGAGGATTTTAATTAGAATGCCCTTCCCAATCTTGTTAGATAAAGGGCTGCCAACTTTGCAGCCCTGATATTTCATTATTGCTGAATGGATGTGATTTAGAAATATTCTGGATCCTACTGGGTTTCAAGAAAAAAAAATGTTACATTTTCTGGATACGGCACTTTCTTATGTACAGTCCAGAAATTCCTACTTGCAATTCACAGTCACGTTCTGCACTTAAAATACTGTGCTTCTGTTTGTTTTTCCTGGTTAATAGCTTTTTTTATCTGACAACTCCCTTGGCTTCTTGGCCACGTGCCTGACCACATCTTCATGTTGCCTAGCCACATTTTCTTGACTTGATGTTAATTTTTTCTTACAATTTTTCTTCTGTGTCCTTGAATTCATCCACGAAACTTTGGAGGGTGAGCAGACCAGATGGAACAAGGTCATCCAGTGAGGATCTTTCCCCCCAACACACACCTGAGTTCCTTCCCAAATATACACAGCTGCCCACAACTGTTCTCAGTTGCACATTTCTAGAATGACAGAACAGCAACTCTTTGTGATGCAGTGGTTAAACTGCAGTACTGCAGTGAAGACTGCTCACAACCTGAGGTAGCGGGCTTGAAACTGACTCAGCCTTCAGTCCTTCTGAGGTCAGTAAATCAAGTACTCAGCTTGCTGTGGGGGGGCAATGTGTAGCCTTCATAATTAAATTGTAAGCTTCCCACAAAAGACTTTCAGCACTATGGGGCAGTATATAAGCAGCATCCTTTGCTTTGTTTTACTGTGGTCCATGGGAGTCTATTGCAAGGAAAAGAAGAAAAAGGGGTGTGTGTTCTCTCTCTATTATTATTATTTTTTTTTGCAAAGCAGGTAATGAAAGTCCACAGAAACGTATGCCATAATGAAATTTGTCAAATGTCCACGATGCCACAAAGTTGTCATTGTAACAACAGCTGCAATATTGGATTGACAGCTTGAAGTCATCCACACTCAAAATTAAAATTGCTGTTAAGTCTGAAGCCAATACTTTGTTTGGCCATAGTAATGATCTTTATCCACAATTTTTGTCCAGATTATAATTACAGAAGGTTATAACTGACAACAATGGAAAGGCGGCTCATGGGTCTTTTAGATATTAAACTGATGAATTTCTTTCTGTTCTCTATACAATATAGTTTTATATCATCGTAGAGAAGAAGCATAAGTTCTGCAATTGTCAAAGAAAAGAGAGAGAGAGAGTTGAAGCTTTAAAATAATGTGTTCCTCTCTTTCTCTTCCAACATCTGCAACCCAATGAAAAAAAATGAACAAACAAACCAAACATTTTCTCCTGTATCAATGTCCTTGCACTAATAATCTTGGCACACCTGATGTCAGAATGCAGGCCGACAGACTGTTGTCCTTTTTTTTTGTCCACAAGAGGTCCTTGTAGGACTGTGAAAAAATAATCTGAGTTCATTGCCTGCACGCTAGTAAAAGCAAACTTTGTACATACATTTATTTACTTAAAATATGTGTTTTTATTCACATAAAAACTAATAAATCGAATAAACAAAATGTTCAGCATGCAGCTATTGTCTTATGACAAGCATGCTTGTATAATTTTATTCACTGCAATTTCTACAACGGGGACAAAGTATTAAATTTTCTTTTTTCAAATTTCTGTAAAAGCTACTGCAAAGTGTCACTGCAGG